GATCATGTTCGAACTTTGTACATCATCAATTTTCATCTTATCGAATCTAAAAAAAAATCTATATATATATATATACGTATATATATATTATATTTGAAACATTTCTATTATTCTTTCTTTACTTTTTTTCTTCATTCGTTCATTTTGTAACATGTGTGGAATTTAAATTGTCCTATTCTATGTAGATTACAATTTGGCCTCAGTCTCATACAATCCTCACATACACATTAACTCACATTCATTAACTTACGCGCTTGGACACACACACACACACACACATATACATACACATTCTCTATCTCTCTCTCTCTCTCTCTCTCTCTCTCTCTCTCTCTCTCTCTCTTCCCTGAATGGCAAACATACCGCATGTATTCACATTTTACGATTAGAACAAGGTAAATTTTCTCTACCGCACGAAACGTTTACGTTCGTTCTTTAATATAAAATTAAATTATTAAATTCGACTTATTACTCGTATAAATGTTCTATCAAGATAGAGAAAGAGAGAGAGAGAGAGAGAGAGAGAGAGAGAGAGAGAAATGAATGTTCATAAAAATGTATCGACGAGTAATAATTTATAAAGTCACTCGATTGATACCGATTTATTTATTTATGGCTTTATTTACTTATAGATTTATTTATTTATTGGCTTAAGAATCTTATCGTTATCATTATTATCCTTATTATTATTATTATTATTATTATTATATTTATTATTATTAATTAATTAATTAATGATTTGTATTTATTATCGATTTTCTTTTATTATACGGATATGCATATATTGAATATATCCTGTTTATTTTCCTTTTAAATGTAATTTCGAAGTTCTTTTATTTCATTCATATTACTTTTATAATATTTATCAATAAAAATCGTCTAACCTGACATAAATATTTCATTTTTGCGGTAATTCAAAATACGTCAAGGAATATTCAATGCTGTCATGTTTAAAAAAAAATAATATCATACGATCCTGCGTCATTCGACGACAGAAAAAAACGGAAGGAATGAAGAAAAAAAAAAGTAGAAAGTGAGAGAGAGAGAGAGAGAGAGAGAGAGAGAGGAAGAGAGAGAACAAAAAAAAGAACCGTTTAACCCAATTTAACGATATTTCATCGGTGATACCACACGATTCATCGGTGATACCACACAAATCATTCAAACTTTACGGTACATCGCGCTTTTCCATCGGGAAAAGACTCCCCGCGTTAACAGACACCACGACTGTATATCAATATTCATTATGTCCCCAAAGCAATGAATATTTACGTTATGCTGACGCGTTATAATAAAATTTGACGTAACGAGATGGTATCGCTAACAAAAGTCTTTCTCCAATCACGTATCTCCCGTATATTTAATTTATTGTTAAAATAAAAAATGATAAAATAAATTAAAAAGAAAAAAACTCAATAAAAAATAAGAAAAGTAATAATAAACAGGTATAATAATATCATAATAATAATGATGATGATCATGATGATGATGGTGATGATAATAATAATAATAAAGTAAATAAAGAAATAAACTCTGTTTCGTAGAGTTTGAATTTTTTGAAATTAATGTGCGCCAATTGTTTCCTTTTTTATATATATATATATATATATATATATATATATATATAAAATTTTCAAAACACGATACGATGTCTATCGTCGTTGCATTTTTACGTAGTCTCGTTGATATTTACATATAAATGATTTAATTAAAGGCACATCTTTTCTCCGCCCTTTTGTTAGACCGAGATACCTGTCACTCGATGCCGATGAAAACCGATAGAACGGATTTCTCTGGGCATTTTCGTTTCCGACGCGTCCGAAAACGGAATTATTTTCTCTCGACGTTCGCGCATCGATATTATCCAGGCTGCTCTAGTTTACTCGACAAGTTTCCTATACGTAACAAATGTGGGATAAAAAAATGTAGAAAAAAGAAATCAACGAAGTCTTCCGAGCCCTGAGATCGTTCGGTAATTTAACCCTGTTGCTGTAATTTTCTTTTTCTTTTAAAATAACTATTTCTCTCTCTCTCTCTCTCTCTCTCTCTCTCTCTTTATTTTTTTTCTTTTTTTTTTATTTATTTATTTATTAAATATTAAAAAAAATATTCAAGTTAAATCACCTTGCACATTAATAAATGTAATACAAGAGGATTATTATTTTTTACTTGTATAAATATTACAGATTTATATGAAACAAAAAATGATCGAATTTCACTTGGCACGTTTTCATACTCGCATGTTTTTCTATCTTTTTCGTTTTTCTCCTTTTTTTTCCGTTTTTTTATTTTTTTTTTATTTTTTTTAATTTTTTCTTCTTATTATTATTTTCCATTCTCGACTCGATAGTTCCATTTCCTATATATACGTAGTTACAAGAATATCAATAATATTATTACGCTTTCTCTCTCTCTGTCTCTCTCTCTCTCTCCCTCTCTCTCTCGTGCGACCCACAGGTCAGCAATTTTTCAAAGTATTTCACGATTCTTACGATATATGCATATGACGACGTCGTCATGAACGAATGCTTATGTAAAGTTTCTTCGTGCTTGGAGAAAACCGAAGAGAAAGACAGAGAGAGAGAGAGAGAGAGAGAGAGAGAGAGAGAGAAAAGTTATGATGAGAAAATACAAAAAAAAAAAAAAAAAAAAGAAAAGGAAAAGAAAACGGCAAAGAGGAAAAAGTAAAGAAACCGTGTGTCTCTTTCTTACTCGCTAATATATTCGCATCGTTCCTAAGCTTTAGTCCCTTTTCATCATTATTATAAATTCCTTACCAACATATTTTTCTTCGTGCAAGCAACCTGGTTTTAAAAAAACTCTTACACTAACCGAAGCTAATATTCCGAAATGAAACGAGAGGGAAAAAAACTTGCTGCTAAACGACGACGATAGGGAGGGGGTTGAGGAGGGAGGAGGAAGGGGAAAGACGAGTACAAGAGAGATAGAAAGAGAATGGATAGGAGAGAAGTGGTAGAGAGTTGGTAGTGGTTGTGGGTTTTTTGGGGAAAAACAAAAAAAGAAACAAAAAAAAAATAAAAAAGGGGAGGGGGAGGGGGAAAATAGAAGGAAAATAAAGAAGCATTTATCGAATTTTTCTTGTCCGTTGCACGTACAGGCAAGGTAAATAGTATGCTCTAAAGCTAAACATGTTTTCTACTTCTTTCTTTTTCCTTTTTTCTTTTTTTTTTTTTTTAGTGTTTTCTTTTCCGTTTTTTTTTTTTTCTTTTTCTTTTTTCCTTTTTCTTTTGTCTTTCTTCGATAACTAATGATCCTCGAAAATTTACACATATATACGGTGCATCCGTCTATAAATATTTATATCTAACGAAAAGATCCTTCGATCCATGAAAAAAAGAAGAATTTACGTTAAAATTAAAAGTATGTTAATAAGACGAAATGCTTTCTGGTTTAAATCAATTAGGATCGTATTACGTTCATTAACGCAAATGGGTATAATTATAATTAAGATACGATTAGTTAATAATATAAATTCTCTCTTTCTCTCTCTCTCACTCTCTCTCAACGCTTAATGGTTATTTGTAAATATAAAATATTCATTATAAAATATTCATTAGATATAATTCATTAGATATAATTAGATATAATTATCGAAATTGCAAACGATTAATTGAGATAGTTTTAATAGCACATACACGCACAATATTCACTTTTAGATTTAATTATTTATCAAATAATTATTAACTCATCGGATGTTCGATGTATGAACAAAATCATTGATATTTGCAAAGTTTAAATCTTTTTTTATTTATTTATTTATTAAATTATTCATTATCTTTTTTATATCTTACTCATATAGAAATAATACTTATGAGTTATTAAAAGGTTTCAAAAGTAAAAAGTACAATTGATATTTAATATCATTCGACAACTTTTATCTCGTTTTAAGGAATTCTCAATTGTCTCCGTGTAATATAATCGAACGTATAACAAATAAAATTTCCATCAAATGAGATGATAAAATATTATCAATTGTACTCAAGTAATAATATACCGTTATAAAGTTTCAGAGATATCTCTAACATTAACCATTAACTTTCGCCTCTCGAAATTCAGTTGAAAACAATTTTCGTTTGAAAATTTTCATTAGCGTGTAAGTAAGAGCGACAGAGCGCGAACAGAAAGAGAGAAATTTAATGGGCATGGTAAGTATCCTCATGAGAGGATGCACCGATGAGAAGGAAGGACCCTTGAAAAACTCTCTTGCTCTTTTCCATTTTCTCTCTCTCTCTCTCTATCTCTCTATCTCTATCTCTATCTCTATCTCTATATATCTATCTATCTATCTATCTCTCTCTGTCTATTCCATCAGTGGAACGCCAACAAAAAAGCAGTCACGGCAGGTGTCTTTTATCGTTTTTCCAACGATCGATCGATCCTCGGCCTGGCACCGTTTGCGGTAGGGCAGTTCTTTCGGTGAATGAGAGTCGAACTAAGCGATCAGATTACAATCGGATTGCGATCTTTAAAGGTAGATATTTCCGAGAGTCAGTAAAAAAAAAAGAAAAAAAAAAGAAAGAAAAAAAGGAGAAAAAGAGAGAAAGGAAGAAGAAGATGAAGAAGAAGATGAAGAGTGAATGTGGTTTTAAAGAGAATTACTTTTGTTACTGTGGTTTTAGTTACTTTATCATCAAGTACTTACTTATACTTACAAAAAGAAATAATACCTCCTTTGTGTAAATCCATTTTGATCAGAATCATATTATCGTCATGGCGATTTCATACTTGTCTCTATGTCAATGTAAAAACGTATAAATTAATAGATTGAAAAATAATGATTTTATATCAATATATTATAGATTAGTATTCGGATCAATTTATGTTTATATATATATATATAATATTTTATTCTTTAAATAGAGAATAATTTTCTTTTTTATTACGGCCAACGTAAATCAATATTTAACATATAAAATATATATGCGTATATATAAATATATATATATATATATATGTATTAATTTATTATTTGTTTTTAGATTATAGCAACATGCGCAACATTTTATCTACCCTGTCTGCTTATTCTCTTTCTTTACTGGAGGATATTTCAAACAGCTCGGAAACGTATTAGAAAGAGACCAGGAACGATCGTTCAACCCTCTCGCGAAAGAAGAGGTATCCTACGGCTGGTAACGAGAAGGTAATCATCCTTTTCTTATACTTTTTCACCCACCACCCATTTACCATTTTGTCGAATCTATCCGTTCGTCATCCAATTGAACTGACGCGCGACCACTCGTCCGTATCCAACGATTTTCGATCGAGTATTTTTGTGAAAAACTGTTCGGAAGTAAAACGAACGTTTGAATTGTTTTTATCGAATAGAGATAACGATAGGGTGAATTCGAACAATATAGAAAAAAAAAAAAAAAAAAAAAGAGAATTCAAATCCTATCCTCCGTAAGATCGAAGGGTCATTTTGTTTCCAAATCGATCGTTCGCGAAAGTGACCATAAAAATATCTACAATTCGACTATAGCTGCGAAACAAAAAATAGAATCGTTTGCGAAAAATGATTGAACGATGCAAAAGTGCTTTCAATTTTGATGAAAGGTAATTCTCCGCAGCAATCGTTATTTCAACTAACGTGTTTTCAAAAAGGGAAAGAGAGAGTGTGAGAGTGAAAGAGAGAAAGAGAGAGAGAGAGAGAGAGAGACAGAGAGAGAAAGATAGAAAACAAAACAAAATATTGACAATTATTTTTCATCGTTCTAATAATTTCTTTTAACGAAACAACAATTTCCAGAAAGGTGTGTAGGATTATTGATATATGTACAACATATATATATATATATATATATATATATATATATATATAAATATATATATATATATGTATATATGTAAGGATACGTATGTAAATACATAGAACTCCCAGAGTTATATACGTAGCTTTATTTGATAAAACACGATCGCGTTTAATTGTTCCAATTGTCATGACTCTTTGCTCCTAATACTCGCGCGTTAATCGTTTAAATTTAATTAATCTACGAACCAGAATTACAGCTCGCTCCTCTGCGAATCGCGTTAATTCGATCAAAGCGTAACGCGAAACGATTTCGTCGCGATTTCATTACCTACATATAAGTGAATATCTCGCATTCAAATGATCGATCGAATCTAAAACGTTCGAAATTGGTGAACATTGAATTTCCACCCTCTCGATCGGGATCTCGCATAACTCGAGAAATTATTTTTCATTTCTTATTTCACGATATATAATGAGAATCTTTTCATATCTAATTATTTCAATCGATTCTTTCTTAATAAATATTCTTTATTTTAAAGTGAAAACAAAAATGAAAATAAAAAAAGAAAAAAAAAAGAAAAACTTAAAAGAAATTGAAATCGAATAAAAATAAAAATGAAATTGAAAAAGAGATATATTACTAATCTAACAAAATGTTTGAAGGATCGTATTATTTAAACGATAATATATACGTCCGATATTATATAATTATTTATACATATATATATATATATATAAAAAATGATCAATATAATTGTATCGTTTACTTAATGGCATACGTAAGTAAGGAGTCGAAGATTTTCTTTTATAAGAGAAAAAAAAAGGAAAAAACGATTAAATTTAAATTACACGAATGAATGTAGAAATTTAATTACAAGGAATATCCGAAAATATCAGGAAAAACAGGTTACGCGAAAGGTTGGACAAATGCGCTTCTGCACGCGCATTTTCTACGTCAACTTGAGAGTCGAGGCGAATTCCTGTTGCGCTTTGAATCCTTTGAATCGACAGAGGAGTTTCATCAGTTTGAAAGCGCTAGTCTAGTTTAATTTGTTTCCACGAGTGACTCCCGCTCCTTTTTACCCTCTCTCTTCGACTTTTTAATCGGAAAACTGAGAGAATGATATGAAGAGAGGGAGGGATAAGAGAGAAAGAAAAAGAAAATGGGTGCTTTGAAAGTTGACGAATACAAATATTCATCGTATGTGTTAGTTTTATATAGGGAGAATACTTTTATTTTTTATTACTTCAATATATTCTTCCTTTGTCAAACTTTTTATATACAAAATTTCAATTCGTTCATGCAAATAGAAATAAATTCGAATAGTTTTCGTAGGAAATGTAAATCTATTCATCCATCATAGAAAAAAAAGTTAACTCGCAATTCGATGTAATCCTTTTATCTGATTCTTTTTTCCTTTTTTTTTTGTCTTAATATCATTCAAACAAAAAAATTAAAAAAAAAGAAAACGGAAAAAAAAGAAATAAATACAAATAAATTTATATCACAATATTATCGTCTAATTTATATCGACGCCATTAAGATTCCATTAGCTTTAAACTCCGTTAACTTTTTTCAATGAAATCGAGATATTTACCCTAAGTCCTATCTTTTGCTTCTATTCTTTCAAATAAGCAGGCAAAGGGAGGAATCAACAGCGTTCACTATAACACGTTCAACCCCGGATCATTCGTCGATTTCACCGGAAAAGTCGTCGTCGTATAACGACGGAAACGTAGCGCAATCAGCGGTCGTGAATGTTACGCCGGTAACGACGAGCACTACAGCAAACTCGTCGAATTCTACGGGTCAGCCAACGAGCTCATCAACAGCAACAACAACAGCAACAACAGGAGCAACAACAACGGCAACAACGGCAGGAGTAACAACAACGACGACAACGACACCGGCGACAACAACGATGACGACGTCAACGAGTAGGCCAAGTTCAGCGTCCACGTCGACGACGGTACGTCAAGCGACATCGACGAAGAGAAATCGTGAAACGATAGAATCTAAACGTGAAAAGAAAGCAGCCAAGACATTGGCAATCATCACCGGTGCCTTCGTCGCCTGTTGGCTACCATTCTTTGTTCTCACGCTTCTACGTGTCATCTGTTATTGGTGCCAAATACCCAACGTAGTATACAATGTCTTCCTCTGGCTTGGCTATTTCAACAGTACTCTCAATCCTGTCATCTACACCATCTTCTCACCCGAATTCAGGCAAGGTTTCAAGAGAATGCTTTGTGGTAGTTCGAGAGTGACCCGCTGACATTGGATTTAATTTCCTTTCCCTTAATACCATTATTAACGATAATTAAAACCATTACAATCACTACCACAATCATCCACGACAACACCAACGACATCATTGGTACTATTCTCCCTGAAAGGAGGAAGCTTTAGTCTCTTCTTTCTCTGTTTTTTCTTTCTCTTTCACTCTCTCTCTCTCTCTCTCTCTCTCTTTCTCTCTCTCTCTCTCGCTCTTCCTCTCCCTCTCTCTTTCTCTCTCTCCCTCTCTTTCTCATTCATGCATATGCCTGTGAAAGAATAATAGCAGATATGAAACTTTCATATTTTTTCAATTTTTTATTCCTTTCGATGTGTCTTTTCAATCAGAATTTCTTAATCGCAAACGTTTAACAATTTTCTTTATTAATTTAATCATATTAAAATGTAAGAATTCAAGAAAAAAAAAAAATAACAAAATTTATCAAGGTATATCAGCTATTATCTCCTCTCTGTCTCTCTCTCTCTCTCACTCTCTCTCTCTCTCTATCTATCTATCTATCTCTGTGTCTCTCACGTTTAGATTTATTCATACAACGCAAGATACACACGTGCACGTCTTCACTTTTTCTTCCTTCTTCCTCTCTGCCTTATCAATAGTAAATAGCTATGTATTGTATCTCGTGTATATAAAAAATATATACATATGTTCTAGGATAAAAGTCAAATTTGAATCATGGGCCAAAAACCATGAGATCGTGAATATACATATATATATATATATATACATATATATATATATATATATATATATAAATACATACGTACATATATACATACATACATACATACACATATGCATACATGCACAAAAACATTTTCTTCTCGCGAATGTAATAACATATATAGTTATATACATACACGTGTAATTAAACTTACATATGAGATCACGTGTTTTGTCGTGGTCAACATTGTCCTTTTTTTTTCTTTTTTTCTTTTTTTTTTTGTTGTTGTTGTGGTGAACGATTTACCTTTTAGCCATTCCAACTCTCGGCTGTATCGACAATTAGTAGCGGCATCTCTACTGATCTGAATCGTTCGACCGAGAGAACGAAAAAAAAAAAAAAAAGAAAATAGATAGAGAGAAAAAAGAGAGAGAGAGAGAGAGAGAGAGAGAAAAGAGAAAGAGAAATAGGGATCGTAATTTGTGTGCATGCGAAAGAGAGAGAGAGAGAGAGAGAGAGAGAGAGAGAGAGAGAGAAAGAGAAAGAAAGAGAAAGAAAGAGATAGAAAAAAAAAATTGAGAAAGAAGCGTTTCGCAATTACTCACGTCTTTATAAACGCATTAGAATGGCTTTTAAAGCATCACTTTTAAAAGTACATACTGTTTAAGATGGCTATATCTCTACACAATATTTATCTATCCTTTATTCCATCATGTAACATACGTCTCTATAGAAACAAACACACACACACACACACACACGCACAGCCTTACAACACAGACGCACGCAAGCACACACACGCACGTACGTACAAATATTAGAGCATAACGAGAAGAAAACGAGGAACTACGAGGAACTAATGAATTCTAATTGTAAGAGATGGTGAGAAAGAGAGAAAGAGAGAAAGAGAGAAAGAGAGAGAGAGAGAAGGAAATAGGTAGATAGATGGAGAGAGAAAGAGAAATTTGTCAACTTCGAATTTGCTTACGAGTATATTACGACCGATCGTGAGAGGAAAGACTAAAACTTATTGTTAGCATGAGAAAGAGATAGATAGAGATAGATAGATAGATAAAGAGAGAGAGAGAGAGAGAGAGAGAGAGAGAGAGAGAGAGAGAAAGAAGATCAAATTTGAATTCTCTGTATTTGTGATAAATTTACGGGGACGAACTCCCATAGAGTTCAAGGATGTTCAATTCATTTGAAACCTCCTTTTCTATAACTTAGTTTGATTCTTCTCGTTGAAAAGTCGAGTGTATGTGTCTCAAAAAGTGAATTTTGCGAGAAGAAATGTGGAGATCAAACGAATTTCATTCACTCTACGAACAATGGAATAAATAAAAGATCGATCTTTTTTTACTCCTTCAATCTCTTTCGTTTCTTCCTTTTTTTACTTCTTTTTTCTTTTCCTTTTCGATTTGTCTAAAAATATCACGATCTTTTTTTAACAGATTAATTGGACGAGGAGGATTTTTTCTTTTCTTTTTTTCTTTTTTTTTTTTTTTTTTTTTTTTTTTTTTTATAAAACCATGCTGACATTTATTTATTTTCTTTTTCTCTTTGTTTTATTTCTAAATATTTCACATGTTTTATCGATAAATTAAATATTTCAATTCTACTTGAAAGAAATTTTTATTTCTTCGAAGCTAAATCGCGTATGTATCGCACGTACTTACATACGATTTTATTATTACATATGAATGAAATAAATAAAGTTATTTAATGAACGAACATTGGTTACACTTTTAAGAAATTTTTTTTCTCGACGTTCGAAAAAATTTGTTAAAAAAATTCACAATATCGTAAATCCCTTATCAAAAAGTCTCCGGTTGTTTAATATTTCTTTTCTCTCCACTTTTCTCCTGCGTTTATCCTCGAGCGATCATCGTGTTTAGACGTTGATAATAATGATTATTATTATTGATGCGAAATTTCAAGGGTAAAAAAAAAAAAAAAAAAAAAAGAAGAAGAAAAAGAAAGAAAAAAAAAGAAAAAAGAAAAAGAGAAAAAAAAGAAATAAAAATTTGAAGACGAAATAAAGTAAGATGCGATACGTATGTCTCGTCTCTGTAAGATAGAACATACAAGTGTAAGAAGGTATATAATAAGACTTGTTTCAAGCTAAATGAAAAATGTTAGAGAGAAGATAAAGAGCAAAGATCATTAGAATTAGATAACGGGGAGGAGGGGGGGGGGAATATCTTTCTTCAAAGCTTTTAAATAAAGATAATCATTTCTTTCGTACTGACATGCCTCTTCTCTCTCTTTTTCTTTCTTTCCATTTTTTTTTTCTTTTCATTTTATTTTATTTCTTCTTTTTTTCTATTTCTTTTTCTTTTTTCTCTTTTTCTTTTCTTCTTTTCTTTTATTTTCTACGATAAAATTCGCAATTTATTTCGAAATAGACGCCCTTTTTTTTCCCCCCGATTCATCATCATTCCTATCGTGTTAATATTTATCTCTTTCACAGTCCGTACCTTTCTCTTTTGTCTTTGAGCTTTCGCAATAGTAGAAATAACATAGAAGCAATGTAATAGCCCAATGTAAAAAAAAGAAATGATATAGATTCAATACAATCCACAAAAATATCGACATTTTTCTATTCGGTGACAGAATAGATCGCTAAAGTTTGATTAACGAGTCGGTATAATTGTATGATCGAACATTAAATGTTTCTTTTTTTCACGATATCTCTCTCTCTCTCTATCTCTCTCTCTCTCTCTCTCTCTATATATATATATATATATATATATATATATATATATATTTATTTTATCTCTAACATGATCGATCGTGTATATCCATTCATCCATGATCGTGAATGATTTTTTATTAAACGATTTATACTTCGTCATGTCGTGTAATCTTTCTCGTTTATTTTATATTTTTGATAAAAGCAAAGAAAAAGAGATAAAAAAAAAAAGAAATTCTCAAAATGAATTTATATAAAAATTCAAGAACTTTTTCTATATGGAAAGTAACAGCGGGATGGGATGGGGCGGTGGGATGCGCGAGGGGTGGATGGAAAAAATAACAATCATTCGTAAGATAATTCTTGTTTTATGCATATGCGTATGCAATCGCAAATTTTATTCTTCTTTCATGTAACATTATCACAACGAATAACGGGACGAGGATGAAATTGCGAAGTTTCGAATGGAAATCAGAGATATCGCGACGCTTGTATTTTCGTCAGAACGAAGACAAAAGCAAATTGTTCCGTGGAAATACGGGTATAGCACGCAAATTGCATACGAAGTGTAATTTAACGAAATCATAGTCAAACAAGCGGGCAAACAGAGAACCATAATATTGCATCGCATTTAGCCTTATCAGACATTTTCGCTGGTAAGGAAAGGAGCTTTGGATATTTCGTGCAAAGAACTTGTGCTTAATACTTGTCACGTGTAAAGACACGTGAAAGGTTAAAAAAAAAAAAAAAAAAAAAAGAAAACACACACACAGAAAAAAAGAAAAAAAAAAAAAAAAAAAAAAAAAAGAGGAAAAAGAATAGAAGAGAGAAAAGGAAAAAAAGAAAATATTTATAAAAAGATTTTTGTGAACTATATGAATGTGTGCTTATGTCTCTTTGTGTGCGTATGCGTGTACGTGTCGTGTGTGTACGTGTGTGCGTGTAACATGTAAATCTCTTCGTATAAACGAAAGACGAATTTTAACGAGAGCGTCGCATAGATCGAATTGTTATATCGTTATACGTGTCGTTATTTCTTTTCCTTTTTCTTTTTTTTTTTTTTTTTTTTTTTTTTGATATTTTTCTTTTTAGTTTTTTCTTTCTGTTTTCTTTTTCTTTTTTTTTTTTTTTTTCTTTTTTTTCTACCAAAGTTATAGACCCGTTAAGTCGAAAATAAAAAGAAAAGCAAATGGCAAAGACGTGCCATACATTGTACCTTAGCCAATTTGTCTTTACGCTCGGCCGAATCTTTTCAGATACAACACTTGGAAATGTCTTATTCGATCTCGTCTTTAACCATTAGAAAAGTTCAACGCCACTCTATTTCTACGTCATACTTTCAAATTGAATGAGATTTGTAATGAAATTTGTTGTTCGCACTTTGAAAAATATTTTCAATGATATCAAAATTTTAAATAATATTACGAATACGACAAACATACTCGATGGGATGATTTTGTTACAATTGATTGAGTCAATGTTTCGCCGTAGTTGAATGCTCAAAAGAGAGAAAAAAAAAAAAAAAAAAAGAAAAAAAAGAAAAGAAAAAGAAAAAAAAGAGAAAAAAGGAAAAGGAAAAAAATAAAAAAAAATAAAAAAAGAAGAAAACACATGTAATAAACATTTAGAAAATGTCGTAATGTCAGAGAGAGAGAGAGAGAGAGAGAGAGAGAGAAAGACTTCGAAGAAAGTCAAATAAAAAAGTTCTACATAATTAATGCATTTCGTGATTAGCTGGTTGCATAAGACACTCCCCATCAGTTGTGCCTAACAAGGAAATAAGCAAAACGTCTGATAATCCTGTTACATAGCTCGTTCTTAGAAAAAAAAAAAAGAGAAAGAGAGAGAGAGAGAGAGAGACAACGATCTTTCCGCATTAATAATCACGTTAGTTTCGTCTTTCACGATACTTTATACCTCATTTATCATTCTTCTAATCGAGCATCGAAACACGAATGTTTGCCGTTCAAACATTTCCAAAAC